AGGGCAAGGAGCAAAAACTGTCCTTTATGTCCCTCTGACCAAATTAGTATAGGCCTCAAAATATGGCTGTTAAACATCCAAGAAGTTTAGTTCCACCAGTCTGGTATTTTTAATTACCATGTGCTATGTAGATAAAGCTTGGGCAAAAAAGCCAAACATTCTCAGATAAACCTTGACTAGATATATATTTTGTTCCTTAAACTAGTTGACTAAACTATGACCATAGAAAATTTAAGATTATATGTATATTATTTTTGTCTCATCCTTTGTATGTCATAACAAACCTACACAGACCTTCATCACTTGCTTAGGCTTTTTCATTTTTTCTGTCTATTTTGGAAAATAGCTCCATTCCCATATCCTTTTAACCCAAGCTTTATCTACTTTAATAATTATAAGACATAATAACATTAACAAATAAATTTTCCATCTGTTGTGAGAATTATTTTCCTGGGGATACTAAGCAATGCTTATTCCCTTTTAAGGTTCTAGTGTCAAATCAATGTTTGATTAAAGTTTTACAGGGGAACCAATGAATTTACTGAGCTTACTTACTGAGATAACTGAGGGGTTGCTGAGGTGTGTGTATGACCTGAGGGTGTGCACACTGGAAAGTCTTTACCCAGTATGGGTCATGCCTTCTCTTTCTAGCCTTGCCCAGATTGTGTACTTTAGCCCCCGGAAAATCCAGGAGACTATGTGTGATTAAGACCAAATTACATACAGTTGGCTGGGAAGAGTGGCTGGATAATCCAGTGAGGGTCCAATGCCCCTTCTTGGCCTTCCCATAATGAATGAGCACAACCCTCAACAAAGCCCAATTGTGACAATGTTTATTGATCAGGCACAGCTGAAGTCCTGATGATGGTAGTTATTTCGTGCAGAAGAGACTGCTGTACAGCATCATCTTATTAAAAGGACATGGAATTTAAAAGGATTTGGTGCTCAGATCCACAAATGAGGCAGAACATATATTGTTTATTTTGGGTTTTTTTTTTTTTTGAGTCAGTTACTTCACTTAGTATAACACTTTGTAGATCCCTCCATTTACCTGCAAATTCCATTATTTCATCTTTACTGATTGCTGAATAAATTTTGTAAATATACCACATTTTTGTTAACCACTCATCAGTTGAGGGGCATTTAGGTTGCTTCCATCTCTTAGCCATTGTGAAAAGAGCAGCAACAAACATGGTTTGTGTCTCTACAATAGGATGAGTCCTTTGGTATATGCCAAGGTGTGACAAACCATGTTTTTATATAAACTAAATTGTTAAGGGCCAACTAATTGCTAGATCCAGTTTCAGTTGGAGGCAAGCTTCTTCAAACCTTCAAGGAATCCAGAAGAGGGTGTCATATCACTTGAGTTATAGACTGTTGTTATTTGCCTTGTGGGTGTTGGGAGGCAACACTAGGTCCTGGGCAAGAGCAGTCGGTGCTCTTAACTGCTGAGCTATCTCTTCAGACCCAGAAAGGAGGATCATACCTGGGAGGCCAGCTTAGAAATAGAACAAGAAACTCTCTCAGAAGAAAAAGTAAAAAGACACCTGGAGGCCTGGAGATACAGATCAGTGGTAGCATGCTTGCTTTCCATTTATGGGCCATGGGCTTCACCCCCAATCTGAGGGAAAAAGATGTTAAAAAAATAAGAGGCTGTAGCTGCAGGACATTGGTGATTTCCTTGCCTGGCCTGTGAGAGGTTCTGGGTTTCATCCTCAGTACAAAACATAAAAACAAGAAAACCGTAGCCTCCTGGGACTGCTGTCTGCATCTCTTATTTTATTTATTATCTTCATTTCATGTGTATGGGTATACTGCTGGTATGTGTATAAGTGCACCCATGTAGTATAATGACTTAAGAAGTCAGAAGAGGGTTGAATATACTGTGCAACTGGACTTATGGCCAGTTGTTAGCTGCCATGTGGATTCTGGGAATCGAATCTGTGTCATTTTCAAGAGCATCCAGTGCTCCTAACCATTGAGTCATCTCTCCAGCGCCCTGAGTCTCTTTTTGCATTTCCTTTTTTCCTTGTAGTTCTCAGGATTGGACCTAGAGCCAGGTGCATGTGGCAGGAGTCCTTTACCTCAGACATTTCTAAACTAATTTTTATTGGAATCTGGAGAGACAGCCCAGCAGTCAATAGCTCCTCCCACACTTCCAGACAACTCCAATTCAGTTGCCACATTGGGCTGCTCACAACCTTCCGTAACTGCAGCTCCAGGGGATCCAACTCCCTCTTCAGATGACAGTGGACACCCGCCCACATGTGGCATATATTCACACAGATACATGCACATATAATAAAAATGAGACAAGTTCTTGGTCACCTGCTTAGGCTGCCTGTGGACTTTCTGTAGCTGAGTCAGGTCTTAAAGTTGCAATCCTCCTGCCTCAGCATCCTGAAAGGGAGGGGCAGCTCTCTGTGTCTTTCCCCTTGCCTCAGATGCTGTTTTAGAGCTGATTTGTTTCAAGGTGGCCGGGGAAATGACCCATGTAGGAAGGACCCTGAGTGAGAAAAGACTGTAGGCGATTGCTATTGTGGTGCTTGGGACACAGTCCTTTTCCGTGTCGCTTGCTCTCCCACATCCCAGGGGACAGTTCACAACTTCAGGGCTCCCAGAATTTAATCACACTAATCCTCAGGTGTGATAGTACAATATTTTCTGACTTTGAGCCCCAGCTGTCATTGTTTTTAGTTTGTTAGTTGAGAGTTTTGTTATGTAGCCCAGGCTAGACTCAAACATGACAATTCTTCAGTCTCCAAGCTGAGACCAGAAGTCTGGGCCCCGCCTCAGCTAAGCTCCATTTTTTATTTCATGCTCTCTAGCCAGTGTGCTGGACTCATCCTTTCTGAAGCACCAGCTAATTTCCAGTAAGCCAACGACAGCATGCCCCTCCCAGCAAAATTAGGAACTTTCTTTTTTTCAAATGAAATGTCTCATATAGCCCAAGCTGGCCTAGAGGTTGCTATGTAGCTGAAGATGACATGAACTTCTCCTCGTGCATCTGCCTTTTCATTTCTGGGAATACCAGCATGCCGCATCATGGCTGGCACATGTGTTAATGGACCTAGAACTCAAGTTTCCTATATGCTGGGCAAACAGGCTGCCATTTTAGCTACAACCTCAGCGCCCCTGCCTTAATATTAAAGGCCTCAAGTCACCCTTCTACCTCAGCCTCCCACAGCTGCCATAGCAGACAACAGACAGAGCGTACAGCTTAGGTCTCTATTCCGGAACAGATTTGTGACTGTGGCAAGATATTTGTCACATGGACCTTTGACAAAGGTATGTTCAGTTTCCTTTTTTATGTGTCCACTGTCAGGACAAGATTCACACTTAGAAAAAGGTTTGAGATGTGAATACACTTCATCCATGTGAGGGGCTTACAACAGAAATCATTGCAGGAAAGGCTGAGGCAGGAGGACTGCTGAGCATTGGAATTCTGCATCAAACTTAGTTATAGGGCAAGACCCTGGCACAAAAATAAAATGAAAAAATGAAAACACAAAACTAAGTGCTTCAACAAATAAATAAATAAATAAATAGACAAATACATAAGTAAATAAGTAAATAAAAGTAAATAAATAAATCTTTCTCAATAAATTCATTAATGGGCTCTTGGCTGTCACCCTATTGTACCTTGTGTTCTTTTTATTAGGTTTGGTTTTCTTTTGTTGTGTTTCTCTCTCTCTCTCTCTCTCTCTCTCCTTTGTCTTTTGCTTTCACACACCCAACTCTGAATCAATCAATGAGCTAAGATTCAATCAATCTACACAGCTGGGTGGAGCCTCAGCCCTCCAATCAAATGGCAGGCTGTGGTTGGGAGGTGGGGTTCCAAAGGGGGAGGTACAGGTCCAAAGGTATATAAAAGCTTCAGAGAAGCCAAGACGACAGAGTCCTGGAGCCTGGAGTCCTTGGTTGGCTCTCTAGATACTCAGAGTGCTGCATTCCATCCCCCAATCTGGTAACTGACTCAACTCCATCAAGACCCTCCATCTGATTCAGGTACATTAGTCCCAAAATGGTGCTAGAACTTCTGGTTTTTGTCTCAAATGAACAATTGAAGGAATTGGCTTTGACCATAAACGAACAATTGAAGGGATTGGCTTTGACCATAAATACAGTTTCGAATTATTCTTAAATACCTTATTTTCAGTAGTAAGTAATAAGCCTTGACACCCGTTTCTTAGTTGACCTCAGTCTTTCTAAGTCAGGTTCAATCCAAGGAAAGGAGAATATGGGTAGGTTGGATGTGGGAAAGTTCCAATGCCCGTTTATGAGGCACATGAATGGCGATCCATGTTCATTGCTGTAAAAGGAGAGGGCTCTGTTTTAGACTCCTGGGGATCCCTTCCCAGTGGGGATGGGATAGAGAGGAACAGAGGTTGGAATAAAGGGGAAAATGGTGAACGGTGAACGGAAAATGGTCTCAGTGGGGGTCTGTGACAGGCTCCCCGTGTTTCCAGGGAGGTGAGCTATGGCTTTGAGAGCGGCAGTAAGGAGAACGGGGCAAAGCGAGCTCTCCACCATTGCTGGGCAACGACTCTGCCCTGACTTTGTTTCTGTGGTGGGTGAGAAGACAGGTTCTAACAAGTATCCTGAAAAGAAGTTCTTTCCTGAACGTTTCCACAGGATCTTTTGAAGAGAAGGGATCCACCAGGATGAGCTTCCAGGCCCCGCCCACACTCGTGGAGGTGGCAAAGCAGTGTCTGCTGGGTGATGAGGCTGTGGCCATCTCTGCTCTTCAGTACCTTCCCAAGAGGTTCATCCCTCCTCTGTTTATGGAGGCCTTCACTGGCAGGCGCCTGAAAGTCCTGAGGGAGATGGTGGCAGCCTGGCCCTACCCCTGCCTCCCTGTGGGGGCCCTGATGGAGAAACCTCACCTGGAGACCTTGAAGGCTGTGTTGGATGGAGTAGATAAGCTGTTGAGACACAAGGTTCACCCAAGGTAAGCAAGGACCAAGTAGTATAGAATGGAGGATGCGGGGGTGCAGGGAAGGGACACTGTGGTTGGGGAGAAGGGGCTCAAGGTGGAGCAGAGATTTCCAGTGGCATCATCTTGGAGCATTGCAGAAGCCCTGACCCTTGTCGAGGTCTAATGGGAAATCACAGGCCAGTGTGGAAGACAGATTGGAGATGTAGCCTCAGTGGAATGAGCCTGTCTGTTCCTCTCCCACAGGAGATAAAGTGGGACCAAGTAGATGTCAAGAGGGAATGAGACTTTGCCTAGCATCCATGAGGTTCTGTGTTGAATATTCAACACTGACAGAGGTAAAAATTCGTAAGCCAGAGAGCAGTGCAGGGAAAGCTGACATTTGAGATGGAGAATAAAGAAAAACAGGCTACGTGTTGGGTCTTGTCTTGTCCTGAGACTTCCTTGTTTGACCCACAGGAGCTGGAAACTTCAAGTACTTGATTTGCGGACTGTGCAGCACAGCTTCTGGAACACGTGGGCTGGAATGGAGGATGCTGGCTCCTCAGCACAGGCTGTGAGTGACAAGCAAATTGTGAAGGACCTTCCTAGATATGCTCTGCGGAGGCGGCTCAAGGTCTTCACTGACCTTTCCCTCAGGATCCATCTCAGTGAATACCAAACATACTTGTTGCAGTGGGCAGAGCAGAGGAAAAGTTCCCTGAAGCTGTGCTGTCCCAAGATGCAGATTTGTGCTTTGCCTGTGGACAGAATCCTGAAGGTACTGACCATCATCCAGCCAGAATTCATAGAGGAGTTGGAACTGTTTTCAGGGTGGAGTCCGTCTACCTTGGAACAGGTTTCCCCATACCTGGGCCAGATGAGGAATCTTCACAAACTCTTCCTAGCACGGATCCACAAGTATAACTTTAGTGTTGAAAATACTTCTGCAGACCCAGAGGAGATGTGTGTCAGCAAGTTCATTTCTCAGTTCTCTAAATTCGACAGTCTCCAGCATCTCTACCTGAATGGTTTATTCTTCCTCAGTGACCACATGAAACAGTTGTTCAGGTAAGTGAGGATGGGGAACTGAACTGTTTCCGCAGGTGGGAGCAAACCTTTCTTTTAAATGACAAATTGGTGGCCACCTAATGTTGCCAGCCCCTTTTGAATGAACAGTGAGGTCATCATAGAATATCTGGGCAAAAGAATATCTAAGCATTGGTCTTGCAACCATTTTAACCAAATCAAAGTTTCCTATGATACTTGTGAAGCAGAGGGCTGAACAGGGGTAGGAAATGTGTAAGGTAAAAGTCTTGGTGTGTGGGTCATATGTGATGTGTGATTCCTTGGGAGATTCCTGTGTGGTCTAATGGGCAGGAAATAGGAAAGAGAGGAAGGCCCAGATACAGGGAGGACTCACACCTGTACAGATGCCCAGGTTAGCTCTGTGCTCAGCAGCTGCGTGAAAGACACCATTCAGCCTATTTTTTCTAAGGTGTGAAGGGCTGTTTTCAGCCCAGGCACAGGCTGAGTAGATGGGAGTATGTGGCACTCAGGTTGAGGGGGAGGGGCCCATAAAGCCTGGGATTAGGGACAGAGGCTGTCTTGGGAGACCAGGGACCAATGAGCTGTGCTGGGGACTTCCCATGATGCTGTCAGATCTTTCCTGAGTTGGTCCTTCCAGTGTGTGCTCTCCTGGGCTTATGTGGCCAGCACTGGTTTTCTGCTTGTCAGTGAATCTAGGAGCTTCAGAGCTCCAGACCAAATCAGTCCTACATGGATGCTGTGTGAGTTAGCCTTCTAATGCAGTGATACAAACAAGGACCAAAACGAACTTGGGGAGAAAAGGGATTATTTGTCTAACTGCTCACAGTCCATCATCAAGGGAAGCCGAAGCAGGAACTCAGGGCAGGAACCTGGAGTACAGACCATGGAGGAACGATGCCTACTGACTTGCTTCTCTGGTCCAAACTCCACCTGATTTTCTATACAAGACAGGACCTTCTGCCCAGGGGCTAGACCCACCCACCTCACTCAGCAATCAAGAAAATGCCCCACAGACCTGTCCAATGGAGGAAATCTCTCACTTGAGGTTCCCTCCATGCAGGACTGCCAGGTTGACAACTGAAGCTAGCCAGCACACTTGGGAACCTGACACTGTCTAGAAAGGTGTGACTTGATTGTAGAGACTATAATATGCAACATCCTGGGTATTGACCTCTGTTATGATCAGACTTCTGACCTTGGGACCTGTGGTCTTCTCCACCTTAATGTCAGTCTGCCCACCACACTCTCCACGACCATTTTCCTTAACAAATCTCTTCTTCTCTCCCTAGCTGCCTGAAGACCCCCTTGGAGACCCTGTCCATCTCTCGCTGCCTCTTTTCCCAGTGTGACTTGAATTCCCTGTGCCAGTGTCAGAGCCTCCGTCAGCTGAAGCACCTGAGTGTGAGAGGTGTGGAATTCTTTGATTTATGTCTTATGGACATGCGAGTTTTTCTGGAGAGAGTTGCAGACACCCTGCAGACCCTGGAATTGGAGCACTGCGGGATGCAGGACTCTCAGCTCAGTGCCTTCCTGCCTGCCCTCAGCCAGTGCTCCCAGCTCACCAAGGTCAATTTCTATGACAATGACATCTCCATGGCCATCCTGAGGGACCTTCTCCACCACACAGCCAACCTGAGCCAGTTGACCCTGGAGTTGTACCCTGCCCCTCTGGAGTGCTTTGATGATGTGGGTGATATCCTCCCAGAGAGATTTGCACAAATTTGTCTCCAGCTCATGGATGCACTGATTGCCATAAGGCAGCCCAAGACTGTGTCTTTTGCTACAAATATGTGCCTTGAGTGTTGTTCACGCTCTGTCTATGACCTTGAGACCACACTCTGTCGTTGTTGGCAGTAATAGGGAAATGTTACTTCTGGATGCTGAGAAATGAGAGCCTAAGGATAGGACTGTCCTCCAGGACACCCAGAGCACATGTGCAATGTGTTGGGAATGGTGGTGAGGTAGGCTCAGATTACAGTGGCTGAGGCCGACATGAAGAACTGTGGGACCACAGGACATACTGATTTCAATTCTGAACTTCTACATGTGGATTCTAAGTCACAAAGGGAACTATCAATTTCTCCGTTTGCTCCTGAAAGTTTTGGTTAATGAGGAGCTACCTTAGAATTGTTGTAATATGGGTATGACTCCTAGATCCTGGATGCTCTACCTCAGTTGTCCTCAGTCATTGACCTATTCAGCTGGTACCCAGGTCAGGAGTGTTCTATGACATTTGTTGAGGAAAGACACTGCACTGTTTCAGGTGTGAGTCTGAACCTCAAGAATTTTCTGCATTCAAATAATATAGAATCATATTGATATTCACTCTGCTGAGGCCTGGGTATCTGCTGTCCCCTTGTGTGGGTGTTCTAACATGGGCAATGCAGACCCACTCTCCTGTGAAGGAGGTACTGGGTGAATGGCTGAGGATTACAATCCAGCACACTCAGGCCAGGAGGTGCTATGGAGACATAAATACAGCTGAAGCTGGAGATGAATTCTTGATGCTCTTCCTGAGTGTTGACACTACTGATGTGTGCCACCAAGCACAGCTGTTGGGTCACCTTCTTTTGGCCCCCAAAACTTTTTTCTGTTCACTTGTTCAATAAATGGACAGTTCTCCCTCTTCTGGCCTAAAGGACAGTGTGAATAGCTTCTGTGAAAGTCAATACACTTGGGAAGAGAGAATCTCAACTGGGGTATTTCCTCTATCAGACTGGCATGTGGGAATGTCTGTGAGGCATTTTCTTGACTGTTGAATGATGTATAATGTGAAAGGGCTAATGTGGGTGGTGCCACTCCTGACCTGGTGGGCCTCGGTTGTATAAGAAAGCAGGCTGAGCACAGTCCAGTGAGCCATCCAGTAAGTGGCTCCTCCACCATCTGTGCTTTGCTTTCTGTCCTGAGCTGCCACCCTGGCTCCCCTCCATGACGAACTGTAAGCTGTAAGGTAAAAATAAATCCTTTCCTCCCCAACTTGCTTTGGTCAGTGTTTTATTCAGCCACAGAAACCAAACTAGAACACATTGCCTACACCTAACAACTTACTCCTTCCTGCAGTTTTCCTCTGACCTCCACAGAAGGCCCATGGTGTGAACGCCCTCACACATATACACGCACAGCCACAAACAAACAAACACATAAATCTGAGGCTGGAAAGAGCTCAGTGGTAGAGAGCTTGTAACAGGCCTAGATTCAACCCCCAGCTCTACTAGCATAAAATAATAAAATAAGAGTAAATTGTATTTCCAGCAGGGCTGGAGAGATGGTTCAGTGGTTAAGAACACTGGTTGCTTTTGCTGAGGACCCACGGTGAGTTCCCAGCTCCAACATATCAACTATCCACCTCCTATAACTCTGTTCCAGGGAATCTGACACCCTCTTCTGTCCTCAGTGGGCATTGCAGGACACAGGTGTACTTATAGACATGCAGGAATACACTCAAACACACAAAATAAATAATAAATAAAATATTCTTAAAAATATGTCCAGCCTAGAGATGGCTCAGCAGTTAAGATCACTGGTTTTGCTTGCAGAAGACCCGAGTTCAAATCCCAGCACCCACATGGCAGCTAACAACTGTCTGTAACTTCAGTTCCAGGGGATCTGACAGCCTCTTCTGTCTTACACAGGCATTGCACGATATGGGTGCACTTACCTACGTGCAGGCAATATACGCATACACATAAAATGAAAATAAAATATTTTTTAAAAAATTTCCAGCCTAATTGTATAATCTTCACACACCACGTACATTTACAGAAATTCCTTGACAGCACAGACCTATAATCCCAGAACTAGAAAGGTGGGTCCAGATGGATCAGGAATTCAAGGACATCCTTACCTGGAGTGAGTTTCAGGCCATATGGGCTGCAAGATAGTCTTTCCAATCACACACACACACACACACACACACACACACACACACACACACACAGACAATATAAATTTAGAAGAAAAATTGAATTTGAAAACTACCCAAAGTGCCACACACCTCTACCCATTATTCAGCATGTGGAGGCTGGGGATACCAAGTTTGACTCCAATTCTTAATGTACGTTCAGGCAAAACACTCGTACAAATAAAATAAAAATAAATTAAAAGATTTTTTAAATCATGTTTCAGTTGCGCTTGGCAGCACAGACCTATAATTACAGAAATGAGGGAGGTGGACCCTGAAGGATCAGGATTTCAAGGACATCCTTAGTGAGTTTCTGGCCAGCTTGAACACAATAGAGTCTGT